AGGGATTGAGCAATCTCTTCTAGTTTTGGATCTCTTTCCGTATCGTTGAAAGGTAGTTGATTGAGAATGGGAATCCTCAAGAGTTGGGAGAATTCTTCCAAAGTTGGCACAAGTTGATAACCGGGAAATGTGAAGCAATGGTGTAGAGGATCAAAGAACGGGAAAAGCACCTTCACCATGTCCTCATCAGTATTGGAGGTAACCAAGTTTAGGAAGTGACCATGTCTTTCGGTAAATGGAGAGTTTTTAGGAACACTTGATGCTAGATCTTTAAATTGAGGAGGGATCCTTACAAGATTGACTTGGATGGTTTTCCTGCGAATAAAATCCATATCCTACAAATTAGAACAAAGATAAATCCCAAAATCCTTGAAATGGTTAGTGAGTATGAGTATGATGTTTATGATGTTTATGATGTTATGTACAAGTAAATATATACAAACAAAACAAGCAAGTCCTTAGGTTTAGGCTTGCATGGAGTCTCATAGGTAAGTACCCTCTTGAAGTTTAGTTGGCTCAAACCTGTCCTAGCAATAGTAACCGGGTTCTAAGGGAGCTCAACATCACTGGTTTGTTTTCTCGGGCATTGTTTCAGCGCAAGCCTCTTTAATGGCGACCGAAAAATCCCAAAAAACTAAACCTCAGTGAGTGTAGTATCGAGTATCTACCAACTTCGGATTGCACCAAAGCCGGTCATCTCACTACGTCCTAATAACCAAGTTGGTCAAGTAAAAATAATTAAATAAAAGTCCTAAATTCTAAATTGATTTTAATTTACAAGAAAATAATATAATAATAATTTAAAATTTATTATCTAAGTATTTTTAAAAAAGGAAATTAATTTATTAAAAAAAGTTTTTGTTCTTTTAGTTTTGTGAAAAATAAACTAAATAAAAATAAATAATAATAATATAAATATTTTTGGGTTTCTTTTTATTAGTAACAAAAAAAAGGTATTAATAATAATAATAATAATAATAATAATTATAATAAAGGAAATAAAAAAATGAAAAAAAAATATAAAGATAAGTCATGGGAGGTTTGAAAATGATTAAAGGGGTTAGAAGGTAAAAAAAGAACAAAGACCCAAAACTGTTGGCCCAAGCGCTGCAAAAAAACAAAAGGATGTCAAAAAAATGGGAAAAAATGCAAAAGGCAGCGCACTGAGGTTCGAACCCATGGCCTCTTGGTTACAGGTGGTTGCCTTACCACTGGGGTGGCTATACATCCGTTAATATAACTGAAATGATAAATATATAATACAAAACAAGTCCTGAATACATTTTATCTTCAACCTCCAGTCAGAACACCTGTAACTTCACCATTTCTCAATAAAAATGGAAAATGCAAACATGAAAGTTGTTCCATTTTTCCACACGAATCCAACCATAGTAATATCATAAACTATAAATCAAAGATGGATGAGAATTTTTGAAAGTACCAAATTCTGACCTAATTATTTTCAGAGGTTCATATTCAAAATTCTAACTACTCAAGCAACAATAATGAAATCTAAGGATATGGTTAGCTTCAGGACAATGATATCTACATTTCTTATTCACAAATAAACCATTAATGATGCTTGTATGAAGAGTTCAAAAGTAAAAAAAACTCACCTTGCAAGAGGGTATCGTGTTTTGAGTTTGAGCAGCTTTTGATGAGTTCTAGTGATTGGGTTAGCTTCCTCAAGTTCCCAGGAAGCTAATGTGATGCCTGACTTGAGCTGAAAGTGGCTGAGGAGTTCTGAAGAAGTCGAGGTGCAAGGTGTTGTTTTTGAAAATGATGGATGATGATGGAGGTGTTACAGTCGTGTTGCAGGTGTTGGAATTGTTTGTGTGTGTTATTTAGAAGCTTTTGAAAGTAAAATGCTAAGAAACGCACGAGCAAATTTAGAGATTGGATTCAAAACTCATAAATAACAAGTTTTGAGATGTTTTTGGTGGTTTTGTGTTTTAGGAGGTTTCAGGGCTTGAGCATGCGTGTGTTTTCTTGTAAATGACTTGTGTTTATGTATGGAAAAGGTTGGGATACTTGAGGTGGTCAGAAGTACAAGATCACATGTTTTTGCTTTCTTGACTTGTTTTTGAAGTAAGGTTGACAAACATGGTTTCACTGCATAGTACAAAGCTATCTAGAGTGGTTACCAACTTTAAACATGCTTATTTGACTTTGTAGAGGAAGTTTGTGCAGAAGGAACAAATGCAAAGCTCAATGCAAGTTGACTTTGCATAAAGCTTATTTTATGTAAATGGCAATGGTGCCTTTGTGCCATTAATGGAAAATTAACTTGGATAAAGCTTGAATCAAGTGGATAATAGCTCAAAAGCAAGTGTAATATTTTGATTATGGAGAGATCTTGAGGTTTAGAGGCCTGCAAAGCAAGATTGTACAACATAGGTTTGAGATTTGAATTTTGTTCATCACAAAATTTGTCTTGTAAAACAACTTGAAACTCCAACTTCTGACCTTCGATTCTCCTTGCTCACAAATGATCTCAAGGAGTTCTTGGATATTTTGGAAAGCTTGTAATGAGCTATACAACCCCTCTTTTAATCAATTTTGCAAAATCCAAATGGAACTATGTGAAACTTGGGTCAGAAGTTAGGTCAAAATCCTGACCTAAAATGTTCAAAATTTCACTAAGTGTTTTAGTTTCATGACCATGACTTCATCGATTAATAACTTGAGATCCAAAAATTTCCAGGAGAAGTTGTGTAAATCAATGTTGTAGATCTCATGGATATATACAACTTTCATGTTGAAAGTTTCTTTTGAATCATCTTGCATCATAGTGAAAAATTGGCTCAAAGTTGTGAAAAAATATGAAGTTTTCAACACTTAGAAAAATTTCTAAGTTTGAAAACTTTGACTTTTCAAAATGAAATCTTGAATTTTTGATTTCTTAATGAACAAGTTTCATATTTTGACATGTTTTGATGAATTGTGATCTTTGACACTTGATTTTGACCAAAAAGTCAAAGTTTGACTTTTTAGTGTACAATTGACTTTTGATCAGTTGACTGAAAATCAACTATCAATCCAATTGATCTTGAGAAATATTTTGAGTCATGCCATTAGGTCAAAATGATGCAATTAAACTCTTAAGATCATGCCTCAAACCAATTAACCATTTGCTAGGTCAAAAATCAGAAATTGCCATTTCTCAGTCAAAACCCTAATTTTGACCATTTTGCCCTTTTGATGATCTGATCAAATTTCTTGAGGAATTATGGTCCAAACTTGATCAAATGAGACATATGAGTTTATAATGTTGATATGAATAAAAAATTATAAAGTTTGACTGTAAATTGGCCATAATTAACTTTTCCCCCAATACAGTTGATTTTTAGGTCAATTGTTCAATTGACTGAGCAAAAATGTGATCCAAGACTTGAAACTTGACACGAGTAATCTTGAGGGTTCATTATGATCCATGAAATTCATATGAGGCATTAAAAGTTCAATTATCCTTGTGCAATCTCAAACCCTAATTTCAGTCATCAGTGCTTGAGGAGGTGTCTTGAGCTGATAAAACCTTGTGCAGTCTTGAACCAAAGGAGATCCTGTGAGAAAATATTTGATAAGTGAGAGGGAAAATTTTGGGGTACAACAAATATGTTTCATGAATTTATTATTAGATGATAATAATTATTTTAATAATAGTTATTGACTTGGTATAATTTATTTATTTTTATTATTTTAATCATAATCAACCACTCTCATTTTGTAATATTAACTTTTAATATACTATTATATCAAATCTATGATTTATTAGTAGTTTTATAATATTAATAAAAATATAATGTGTAATTTGGATATCCAAAAACCGATCCAAATTAAACCGCATAACATTGGATCGAATCAGATTGAATTTTTTTAATATATCATTTAAAACCAAACCGAACCGCAAGTAAATTTATCTTTGAATCAAATGATTTTTTGTCTTAAAATCGATCCAAACTGAACCGCGAACACCGCTACCAGACATCATCCTTCGGCTCATTTGTAAGTTCTGATCAATCAGTAAGATCAAATAGAGAAGGAGGAAAATACATAAGTAGTGACATTCATACCTCAATCAGAATAAACACAAATCAAATCGTATCTTATACATCCCACAACTATAGAAATGACGTCTTAGATTTGAATTAGTCCACGACATCATCAATGGAGCATCGAGACTACAATGACATTCACACCTCAACGAACGATTTCTGGAGTCACTATTGAAAACTAATTTCTAAGACATTTCACACTTCAACGTCCTAAAACGAATTTCCAGAAATTTTATTCTTGGTGCTTGATAGGAAGGAGAAAGACGTAGATGGCTAGATTTCACGTTCATTATGAGTTTTATAATATTTCAATTTTATTTAAACATGTTTTACATAAATTAAATTTATTAAAATATAATTTATAATGTTTTATAAAATCAAATATAATTAAAAATTATTGAAATATTCAACAAATGTGACATGACTAAACAGTTCCTATGCCAAGTCATTGATGAGGTAGTCAAATGGAGGGACACTATAAAAATTCCAACTGGTAAAATTTAGAGACTAAAAAATTAATTTTTAAAATAGAAGGACTAAAACTTAAAAAACATTAAAATAAGAAGACCAAAAATACATTTAAACTTATTATTTTAAATGATTTTTCATTTTTAAAAACCGTATTTACCTATTAATCCAACCCAATCTATTTTCAAAAGTCAGTTCAAGTGAATTTTAATGAGTTAATTGAGTTTACTCAACGAGACACACCCCTAGTTAAAAGATACTATATACTAACATTTTAGAAAAAGGGAGTACAGTTTAGAATAAAAGAGGTGTTAATAGATCTGGTCCAGATGCAACATTGAGCCCAATTTATCAAAGAGTTGGAAACGCTGTCGTGCACCCTCCAAGCCTTCATAGCGTAATAGCCCTCTCTCTCTCTCTCTCTCTCTCTCTCTCTCTCTCAGCTTCGATTGTTCTGCGTTTTCTGGGAACGCTAAGATGCAAGCCATTACAAGACGCTTAGGCTCCCAATCCTCAACTTCGCTCAAATCTATCTATCCAATTTCCCATCACTGTGTGTAACGAATTCATCTTCCATTTTCGAATTTAATGCATCCTCATCCCTCAATTCCATTTTTATTCAACTAATTGTAATTGTTATCATCGTAATTGCAGATTATGGTGCGGATCATGAACGTTACGTATCAACCATAGCTACCAAGGGCGTTGGCCACCTCGTCCGCAAGGGTACTGGTGGACGCTCATCTGTTAGGTTAATCCCATTTTCCCTTTCCTTTCTCATTCATAGGGTTTTCCTAGTTTTTTCTTTTCAAATATGGATTTTTATAATAAGATTGGTAACCAAAAAAAATTCATTTTTGTTAGTTTAGGTTCTATTTTTTTCATAGGTCCTTCAGTTTTAGTTTAGTTAGACACTTCTTTGGACTCATGCCATAAACTGAGGTGACACCGGCTCTTGGCTAGACACTTCTCGAACTATCCTAAGCTTAGATTAGAATGAATTTGCATTGCTTAGTATAAACCGATGTTCATCAGGACATGAAGTTGTGATAATATTGTAAAATTGGTTGGATGCAACTGTAGGTTGATTTTGCATGTTTAGGAAGGACTAGGCACTGTAAACAATCTTTTGTATTATCACTAGTTCATTATTTAGCATGATACATGATGTTTAATATTATGTCTTCTTGAAATTTTATCATGGATGTTTCTCGTTTATTAATATAGGTCTGCAGTTGTAAGGATAGGGTTGGTTTTTCGCCAGAAGTGTTCAATTTTGTTCTTTTGCATTTTGATTGAATAGAAAGGGTTATTTGAAAATTCTTCTTTTAGTATGAATTATTGTTTATTCACCTCATTAACCTAAAGAATAGGATCATACTTAGGATCAAAATCTTGTGACCTTTTTACTTTTCTTACTTGCCTCTAAAATTCTTATTTCTCCAATGCTTTTTTGAGTAATTATAGGATTTTTAGAAGTTTTTGGTCTTGGTTAAATGTCCTTTTGAATGGCTGGTAGATAGTTAAAGTAATGCTTGAAAGCAATTCCTTGTGCAGTGGTATTGTTGCTACAGTATTTGGGGCAACTGGATTTCTTGGCCGTTATGTTGTCCAACAACTTGGTAAGTTTGTGGGTTATATAATTGTTTCAAAGTTTTTCCCCCTGGAATATTGTTAAAAAAGCTTAAATATTGTGCTTATTTCTGGGGATGCCATTCCCCTCTTCCAGCTAAAATGGGATCTCAAGTCTTAGTTCCTTTCCGAGGCTCTGAAGATTGTCCTCGTCATCTCAAACTGATGGGAGATTTAGGACAGGTATCATTTGATAATGTTTTAATACTTGTGAAGAGTCTACTTTTGCCTTTTCTTTCTTCCTGATCTGAATGGAAAGTATGTTGTGCTATGTTCATGGGCTATTTCCATTCACTTTATGTGCTAATCTTCCAATGATTAATCTGCCCAGATTGTACCCATGAAATTCAATCCAAGAGACGAAAGTTCGGTTAAGGCTGTAATGGCTAGGGCCAATGTTGTCATCAATCTTATTGGTATACATCTCACGTAATTCTGCAACTTGAATGTTTCTGAGTGTCAGTATGTGATTTTTTGTCTTATAATCACATGCTCATTTTGGCTTATTTGTGTGTTGGCAGGAAGGGATTATGAGACAAGAAACTACAGCTATGAGGAAGTGCACTATCACATGGCCGAGAAACTTGCAAAGGCATGTTCTTTCACGATTGTTAATTTTGTTCTCATCCTATATCATCATGTTAATGTCTTAAATTATGAATCACTCAATACTCTCTATAATATTTTTTTTTCTAACATTGTTTTTTGTACATTGTTGTTTATTTAAAATAATAACAGAATCTAAATCTTAAAAGAGAAGGAATTTTAATGTAGCCTCCAATGTTAATAGATATGTTGTGTACTGTGAAATTTAGGATTTTCACTTAGTTGTGAGAGAAAGAGTCAAAATATAAGTCAACTCGACATGGTTACCGAAATGTTTTCTTCAGAATTTATTGTGTTATTGGATCTGGTCGGCTAAAAATGATACAAATCATCAAATATGTAACATGTCCGAACTGTTCAGTGTATGATCTCAAACTGCATATTGAAAGTCTTCCAAAAGGAGTATTAAATGATCAAATAAAAATTGTATGGTTCCCTATGTTAAGTTACAAGCTTATCTGGGAAAAGTGTTCAGTTTAGAGATTCAAAGCAGTTTCAATGAGCTCAGAAGCCTCTTGCAAACTTTAGTTGATATCTCCAATAGTGTTGCAAATATCGGCCATGGCGGATGTCGGTGGCGGTTTTTGGCTATCTGCCATTTCAAAATTTGTGAAGGATGGCGTCACCGCGGCGCCATATGTCGGATTCTTGGCTCACTGCCATGGTCCGCCATCAATAACACTGATCTCCAATGGATTTGAGTATTGGTTTTGAGTCATACGATAATGTGAGGTTTAGTGCATGTAAAGTGAGCTAATATGAAGCTTGGCAAAGCTTGGCTTGGCTTAGTTTGAATTTTTTTTAGTATTCAAATATCTGTAATTGATCTGATATTCAATATTTCTTTTAGAAAATAATCTGACTCATTGCAGATTTCCAAAGAGCATGGTGGTATCATGAGATTCATTCAAGTTTCTTGTTTAGGTGCATCTCCTTCATCTTCCTCCAGGATGCTTAGATGTAAAGCAGCTGCCGAAGAAGCAGTTTTAAGAGAATTACCTGAGGTACGTTTAGTTTCTCACTCTCTGGGCCAATAATTTATGTCTAGTTCCATTTTCAAATGTAAAAGGGCAACTATTCTCTCTAATATTTACATTTGAAGCTTAGTAAAGAAAGGCTTTATTTTTTGTCTCTGGATTTTATTGGCTTTTTGGGTGGAAACATAAATGATAATGGGTTTTGAAAAAAATAATCATGAATGATAGAGATAAATGTCATAGACCAATTACTAATACTTTTTACCTCCACAGTATTGGCTCTTCGTTGACTTAGGGTATGTTTGGATCTGTGGTATGTGATGGAATGGAATGGAGTGGAGTGGAGTGGAGTGGTAAGTAATTATATTCCATTGTTTGGATTTGCAAATAATGGATGGAGTGTAATGGAACATGATGGAATCCATTCCATCAAATCCTTCAATTTTCATTCCGCCCAATTTGGAGTATATGCAACGGATTGAACTAATTAGTTATGTTCCATTCCGTCAAATTAACAAAAGTACCCAAACAATGAACTAAAATATCTGATCCATTCCACTCCATTCCATTAGGTTCCATTCCGCTTCGTTCTAGTCCATCAATCTAAACATAGCCTAAGATTTGGCTTTTACTATTCTATGAACAAGTGGTAAATTAGAAATTTTTTATTCATTATTTGTAAGGTTTCAGGGTTTATCTAGCGATCTCTTTAATATTGAGTAATAGGCCAGTTGGATAGCATTCTTGCTTCGTTTTCAAATTGTCTCCAGGAAGTATGTTTTGCCCTGTTTAAGCACCAATGCATTGTATATATCTGATAACAAAATAGACATGCCTTCTTTTTTCTGTGAGTGGTGAAATGAAAATCATTTGCACTCGTTGCAAACTTGCAAGAGCATTAATTTGAGAATTCATAGTATCACCCTTAACAGGCCACGATCTTCAAACCTGCTGCTATGATTGGTACAGAGGACCGAATTTTAAACCGATGGGCTCAATTTGCAAAGAAATACGGCTTTCTTCCATTGATGGGGAACGCCAACACAAAGTAACTACTCTAAGCTTCAATGATTTTTACCAAAGTGAATTGTATTGTTAGTGGTTCTTCCTGTTGGCATTGAAATTCATGTTTCTTCGTACAATTGTTGCAGAATCCAACCTGTTTATGTTGTTGATGTCGCCTCTGCACTTACTACAGCCTTGAAGGATGATGGAACTAGTATGGGAAAGACTTATGAGTTGGGTGGTCCTGAGATCTTTACCATTCACGAGTTGGTAAGAGCTGACTTTATCCCTGTATTTGTGCATATCTTGTCAAAACAAGAAATATTGCTTTTAGGGAAAAATTTGAAAGATATCAGTGAAATGATAAGTCACCGAATGTGAGGAAAACTGAGAAAATCATATCTGTATGTGTAATCCTTCTGTTTCTGCTATTACAAAAGTTACAGAACCTACAGTGATTAGAGTATTTATTGATAAGGCTATCTAACTGAATTAGTTAGAGCACTAACTTTTTAACCAGGAGACAGAAGATTCTAAAACAAGCTGCACGAGCTTGACATCTCAGCAATTCACAAAGCTAATAGTATATTTCCCTAACAATGTAAAACCTTTTTATGTTAAAAATGCAGGCAGAGATTATGTATGACGTGATTCGAGAATGGCCTCGATATGTGAATGTGCCTCTTCCTATTGCTAAGGTGTGTTCATCACATATTCATTAGTTGATTACTTTTCCACTACTAATGAAATGCCACTGGGGACATATTTTTGGCCTAGTAGGGTTATTATAATGCTTTCAATATTTATATACGATGCAATTCTAGAAGTCTCACATTTATAGTTTCATGCAGCTTAGTTCATTTTCTTAATGTATCCAGTAATTCAATATTAAATATGTAATTGGGTTGGAATATCATTTTTGATGAAGCTCTCTTCCCCAGTTGAACTAAGATTAGTTGCAAACTATTGTATGGATTTGTGTTATTTTGCTTTACGCACTAATTGGGAATATCTGAGTTAGTAGCTCAAAACCTCATCTGTGATTTGAAAGACATCTATTAGCTGGTCCTTTGTTGTTTTATTTTATATTTTGGTATAAGGTCCCTTCCTATTAAGAGTAAATTATGTCACTGAGAGTCTGATGTCAACTTATGCTAACATTGTGTTGGGCATGATTGGTTTCAGGCATTGGCAACACCAAGGGAATTATTATTAAACAAGGTCCCCTTTCCACTACCCAAGCCTGAGACATTCAATCTGGATCAGATCCATGCTTTTGCTACAGATAATGTTGTTTCAGAAAACGGTGAGTTCCTTACTTTATGACAAAGTCTTTTACTCTTTGTTCCAAGGCATCATTATAAAATTCTCTCTCATTGTCTTGTGTCCAAACATTTTGTATTTGATGAAATTTGCAGCTTTGACATTCAATGATCTTGGAGTTGTTCCTCATAATCTGAAGGGATACCCCATTGAGTATCTTATTCAATATAGGAAAGGAGGACCACAATTTGGTTCTACAATCAGTGAAAAAGTCTCTCCAGATGCTTGGCCGTAAGATTCTTGGGATATTTGGTCCTGAATCATTTTTCTCAGATTTGCATGTACTATCACCATTTCATTTCACTATTTAAAAATGATGGGAAAAGCTCAACTTTTTGTATCTTACTTTCATAATGTAGAGTGAGTAACCATGTTTGTCGATGATGATAATAAAATCCAGATACACCTTTGAATCAAAAAGTCAAAGTCATATTTCTAATTGTAATCTTGGATTATCTTATGTTTATGTATTTGTTTTAGTCCTGAATCTGTTTCAAACTTCAAATCGACCTTCGCTACTTAATATTTCAACACCTCCCCCCCAAAAAAAAAAACAAATTGTACAATTAAAGAGAAACAACGGATTAATTCAATAACAGGGAGAGCCAGAAAGAGAAGTTAGCACTCTGTTAATAATAATAGCCCTATCTTTGAAGTTTATTTTCCCTTACAAAGGCCAGACCAAATTTGAGTATTAGACATTAAAAAAAACTGGAATAAGATGTACCAAAAGTCTTTGTACAATTTTACGCCGACTCCGCTTACTCATTCATTCCAATAAATAGTTGGTGGTATCAACTATTAGCAGATTTGCTTTACTGCATTATTGGTCTCACGACACGCAACGTGCTTGCTGTGAGAATATAATTTCATTATTAGTACTATTTGTTAATAGCGTTTCTCACATTGGTCCTTAATAATTTAATTCGATCGTGGTGGATGAGATAATTGACATGGTGATAATGATAACACGCACCAACGTTTTAAAAGAAAGGCTTGAGAGAGCGTTGTTGTGTTGTATGTGTCGGCTGCACTTTGTCAAGTAGAAGAAGATGGCACATGTTATTTTTTAATACTTGAAACGTATGTTAAGAAATTAAATAAGTGATTAATTACATTTACTAAATGTTTAATGGGTAATATTAGCAGTCACAATTGGATATATAAAATATCATTTATATTTCTTACGTTTGATTATGACTTCTACAAAAAATTTCATTTACATTTCCTACGTTTGATTATGACTTCTTGTTTGTTCAAAAATCTTTGTGATAGATGCAATGTGACTCAAAAAGGATAATTTGGCTGCCACATGGATGGTCATGCAGATTCACACAAGTCTTACACTTTTTTATCGGGGTTCACATCTTCATTGATGCATAAGAAATTTTAAAAGAAGATAAAGAGAGAGAATGTAACTGAATTTCTAACTAATTTTTCTATCTCAATTATGAAAGTTGTATTACAATAAATTAAAAAAACTCTAGTTTATATACTACATCTCAAATGCAAGTCAAACTTAAATGCAAATGAAATCTGAAATGTAAATACTATCTGAATATAAATTACAACTAACATAATTCCTTAGTTTATATTCAATTAATTAAAATCAATAACATCAATTTCACCCCATAATATGATAAAGTGTTCAGTCTTGATAGCCTTAGTCAACACATATGCAATTTGCTTCTTAGTGCTACGGTGAATAACTTCAAGCATTCAATTTTGAACTCGATTTCACAGAAAAAGATACTTAGTATCTATATGTTTGCTTCTCCCATGCAACACCGAGTTATTGGCAAGATTTATTACTGATTTGTTATCAATCATCAGTTTGACTAGTTTACTCACCTTGAACTTCAATTTCTGCAGTAAATTCATCATCCAAACAGCTTGACACGCAGACAATACTCCAACAATGTATTCAGCTTCACAGGTTGATAATGCAACTACTGATAGCTTCTTGGAACACCAAGAAATGGGAGCACCTAGATACATAAATATGTAACATGTAGTGATTCTTTTGTCAACTTTGTCTCCACACCAGTTAGAGTCTGAATAACATATCAGCTCAATAACATTTAACACTTTAAATGGAAAAATGTTTCATGCTTCAGTGTTCCCTTTACATACCTGGGATTATGACTGCAGCTTGGTACTTTGACCACTTTGGTTTACTCATAAACCTACTCCATACAAATTGCATAACATATATTAGGCCTAATACTGCACAAATATCTCAGAGAGTCAACTAAATATTTGAAGATTGTAGCACCTACTTCCTCACCATCAGGATAAGTGTAACTTATGATTTATTTCTGCAAGTGTGACTACAGACTTAAAATCTATTAGCACAAATCTTTTTAACAGGTCAAACTCATACTTCAGCTGATGAATAATGATTCCCTTCTCAGAGCGTAAAATCCTCATTCCTAGAAAATTTATCATATTTTCAAAGTTATTCATATCAAAAGCATTCATCAGAACCCTTTTGAACTTGTTTATCTCAAAACTACAACTCCCTATTAGCAATATGTCATCTACATAAAGATACACCAGAATCACATTGCCATCAGAGGTATGCTGAACATATACACCATATTTCATCTCACATTTTTTAAATCCTAAAAGCTTGAAAAGTGAATCAATTTTCAGATTCTAAGCTCTTGGAGCTTGTTTAAGTTCATACAAAGCTTTATGCAGCTTGTACACCATCCCTTCCTAATTCTTTTTCACAAATTCAAGAGGTTGTGACACATACACTTTCTCTTGCAAAGGACCATTCAGAAAAGATGATTTACATCTAAATGCATCAGATGTCAAGTCCTATTTGGAGCTATAATAATCACCAGTCTGATTGTTTCATGTCTAGCTACAAGAGCAAACACTTCAAAATAGTCTAAATCAAATTTCTGCAGAAATCCTCTAGAAAATAATCTCACTTTGTGTTTTGCAATTGAACCATCTGGCTTCAGCTTTATCTTAAAAACTCATCTCACATTAATGACTTTCTTGTTCTTTGATAAAGTAGTTAATTCCCATGTCTTATTTATTTTAATAGCCTCCAGTTATTCCTTCATGACTTTCACCCAAACCTTATTCTTGAGAGCCTCACTGATACTGATAGGTTCAAAATCTACCATCATAGCACACTATATGACTTCTCCTTCAAAGTCAATCTCAGTATCATATGTAACACCCTTCTAACCCCATAATTAAATCACGAATAATTTAAGAGTGATTCAATTAACATCACCGTTCATGAGTGTCACACTTCATAGAAAACATCGTAATAACAATCCTACTCCGTAACACGGGTTACAATAATTATAACATCAAATTATTTTATAACATTAACACATCAATTAAAACTTCGCAGCGGAAATTATAGTCATAAAATAAGCTTCATTCATCTTCTAAAACTCAAGTATTATTATCTCACCGCAAGTTGTAATTAAAACCACTTTAACATCCAAAAATCCTCATAAAATGTGTTAACTAAAGAAACATAAAATTCGTAAAACAAGTGTTCCCAATATTAGACTACGGCAACATATCTAGAGAGAGAGGGGGGGTTGAATAGATAGCCAAAACTATCTTTCAAACATAGTTATTTAAAAATTTATTTGAAAAACAATGTTGAGCGGAATATTTTTGGCCTAGATCAAAAAAGTAGTCTAAATGAACCTACTTATTGGAAATTCAGATATGCACAAGCCATGTGGAATCAACATAATGATAAAATCAATAAACATAATAATATTTCCATTAATAGTTTAATATCAAACACAATGGTTTTCCATTTTCAATAAAATCATATTAAAAACAGAATATGACAATTTATCAAACATGTGGCGCACAATCAATTTTTTAGAATTTTCTTTGAGACTTGTTGATATGCAAAAGCACTTACAATCAAAGTAATTATAAGATAATCAACAAAGAACTTTACAATTTAATAATTAAAGAGAAATTCTATATGAATCAATCGGTCAAACAACACATTCAACACATTGCATATTGTGATACAGTGGGAGAACTGACTTGGGTTTTGCGTTTGTTTTCGCAAATGTTTCGGTTTAGCAAGAGTCGCCACCGACTTTTTATTTTATCCTAAGGAAAGGTTAAAAAAGCACAGCAAAAACCTTTGAGATGTTTTCTTCGGTTCGGGGAGTAGATTATAGAAAGGGAAGGTATTGGCACCCTTTCTATCCATGGTTATCCATGGGCTCTTAGTTACTTGCTTAGATCACTTGCCTTGATTTTCAATTGTTTGAAATGGTGCTTTGTGTGTGTGGTTTTGAAAATGTTTTGAAAAAGATGCCTTTGTCTTGGCAACCCTTGTAACAATTCTTTACTCGAATGTTTTACAAAAGGTGTTTGTCTTTTTGAAAAGATGTTTCAAGGTTTTGAAAGTTGTTTTGAAAGTTGTGTTGTGGAGTGTGTTTTGAAAAGTAGGCAAGCGTTTATTTTGCAAGTTTGATCAAGTAACTAAGAGTTGTCTACCCCTAAATTTACTCAAAGATTTTTCCTATGTTTTAACCCTTTTAACAGTATTGTTCCACCATTGTATTTGGTGGACAATCTTGTGTTAGGATGTTAACGGGACGGGCGCGGGTCTTCGTATAGACCATGATAGCAATTCTGCAAAGTATCTTAGCATTTTTTGAGGGACTAAGATCATTTTTGTAAGGCAACTTTGGATAGCGTCATCGAGGGACTATGATCTTTTGATTTTGTTTGTTTTACCAAGATACTTTGCATGCGTAACATGGCCCATTTTTAAAGGCAACAAGTGGAGTAACCCTAAGGGTGCAAGTGTGATTGGTGTATTGATTGTCATACGAGAGTTTATCTTTGAATTAGGATTTTCTATTTCATTGATTTTATCTTACCATACACATCCTAATTACTAGCATTTATATTTAAAAGCAATAAAAAGCAGGAATATAAAATCCTACGCTATTACAACAATTAGGGGGTGGGGATACATATTTGTACATGAGGTGGTTCAACGAGAAAAATAGATAAGAAAAGAAAGTAACAAAAACAAGATAGAGAGAAAGAGAGAGGGAGCCAGCGTGCTGCTGAGAGGTCATCGGAAGTTCTGACTCAGGCCCGCTGCCAGATGATCAACCTTTTGGTTAAACTGTATGAGTCAGAACTTCTGACTCTGGCACCTGCAAAATAGAAACCTGTTAGTGGGAAGATCAGAAGTTCTGACCCCCATGCGCT